TGTTCCAGCTGCTGGAGGACAACATGATCACTTTTGTGAAGGAGGAGCTGAAGGAGATCCAGACGTTTCTGAGTCCAGATTCCCCACCAGGCTCAGAGAGTCAGAGGGAGGCTGAGGATGCAGAGCAGAGGAGCAGCAGGGAGGCAGTGGTGAGGATCGCAGTGCACCTCCTGAGGAGGATGAAGCAGCAGGAGCTGGCTGAGCGTCTGCAGAGCGGTGAGAGGTTTAACCTGCTGCAGAAGTCACAGCTTTACCGGCACAGTAGATGTTCTCAGGCTGCTTTACAGGGTTTGATCTTCACTCACTGATATTGTTTGTTCTTCATGCAGAACATTTAGCTGCAGTTTGTCGGCGTAAACATAAATCTGCTCTGAAGAAGAAGTTCCAGACTGTGTTTGAGGGCATCGCTAAAGCTGGAAACCCGACCCTCCTGAACCAGATCTACACAGAGCTGTACGTCACAGAGGGGGGGGCTGCAGGGGTCAACGAGGAACACGAGGTCAGACAGATTGAAGCAGCATCCAGGAAACCACACAGACCAGAAACAACCATCAGACAGGAAGAAATATTCAAAGGCCCACCTGGAGGAGAGCAGCCAATCAGAGTAGTGCTGACCAAGGGGGTGGCCGGCATTGGGAAAACAGTCCTGACCCAGAAGTTCACTCTGGACTGGGCTGAGGGCAAAGCCAACCAGGACATCCACTTCCTGTTTCCCTTCAGCTTCAGAGAGCTGAACGTGCTGAGAGGGAAACAGTTCAGCCTGCTGGGACTCCTCCATCACTTCTTTCCTGAAACCAGAGCAGCAGGAGTCTGCAGCTCTGCAGGGTTCCAGGTTGTGTTCATCTTTGATGGTCTGGATGAGAGTCGACTTCCTCTGGACTTCCTCCACCAGGAGCCCCTGACTGAGGTCACAGAGTCCAGCTCAGTGGACGTGCTGCTGACCAGCCTCATCAGGGGGAAGCTGCTTCCCTCTGCTCGCCTCTGGATCACCACACGGCCTGCGGCGGCCAATCAGATCCCTGCTGACTGCGTCAGCATGGTGACGGAGGTCAGAGGCTTCACAGATGAACAAAAAGAGCAATATTTCAGGAAGAGGTTCAGAAAGGAGACCCAGGCCAGCAGCATCATCTCCCACATCAGAAGCTGCCGGAGCCTCCACATCATGTGCCACATCCCAGTCTTCTGCTGGATCTCTGCTACAGTTCTGGAGGACGAGCTGAGAACCAGAGTGGGGGGGCAGCTGCCCAGGAGCCTGACCGAGATGTACATCCACTTCCTGGTGGTTCAGGCCAAAGTGAAGAGGGCCAAGTATGACGGAGGAGCTGAGACAGATCCACACTGGAGTCCAGACAGCAGGAAGATGATGAAGTCTCTGGGAAAACTGGCTTTTGATCAGCTGCAGAAAGGAAACCTGATCTTCTATGAATCAGACCTGA